TCCACAGGAGGTTCTGGGATAAGGCACTAGTAGGAGTTACACCTACGTTCCCCAAAGTCTGATCTTTAGGTACAAAGAGCTGGTATGATTATACTGAATCTGGCCCTAAAATGTGTTATAAAGGAAGAGAGCTTGCTGCTTACTGCTGCCAGTATGAAAAATAACTTCTTGCTAAACTGGAGTGAAAGATGAAGAGGTGATAATCTATTTGAAATACCAGAGTTATCTGGCAGGTGATAATCAGTGCATTCCAAAAATATTAATATGCTGGATTGGATTGACAAGAAAATTAATCCTCATTAGATGAAATTAATCTCAAGAGAACCAAAAGTACATTATAGCAAACAGTAACTCTCCTTCCGTGTCACCAGAAAGAGATTCCACTGTGGTGGTGGTGGAGGCTAAAAAACAGAACACGGCTCTTGATTCCTGCGCTCGTTGAAGCATTTCCTACACATGTCTATGTAACGCACACTCATTAGTCAGCAGTGACATCTCAACCCTTCAAGGATCCTGGAGAACTGTTGCTTGTCAAAAAGCACTCAGGTTAGGCTAAGGTTCGCAGCTTTTGCTCTAGCATACATTTACATTAGGTGTAAAGACAAGGAATGTACAAAAGATGGTAAATGCATTCCTATCTACAATGTTATGTATATTTTGTTCCTGTTATATTGGCTTTACTTCCAAAGTTGTAGTTTGCAGTATTAGTTTCTTTTTATTGGTATCCTTGCATATATATATTCAATAAATGAGTTATGAATTTCATAATTGCATATCTGTCCTTTTTCTGAAAGTATAACTTAAAACTGTCATTTTAACGCATAAATGCAGTATTTCCCTGTTGAGGTTACAGGCCCGTGAAAACTTTGCCAGGAGAGAAGTGAGAATGCCTGTTTACAGTATGCCACTTGCTCAGAGGGAACTGCAGCTTTGTGTTTTCTTCTTCACTTTGTGCCGTGGGTAAGCGTCTTTGCCTGTACCACTGGTTAATAACGTGAAGTGACAGACTCACCTTTCTCACCCATTCTCACCTTTCAAGAACTTTATTTTTTCTTTTTCAAGAACAAATTACTGTAGACTAAGATACCAAGGGAATGCAGAGCGTAATATAGTTACGCTGCAGAAGAGCAGCTACATCCAGAACGCACTTTAGAACTGTATAAATGTTGTGGAAGAGATTAACAAACCAAAAGATCCCTTGGAAAACACTGGGTTTGTCCAAATAGGTAACTGCCTGGAGTGAGACAGCGACGCTTTCAGTGCCTTTAAAGTATCGAGAAATGGGATGGGAAAACTCCACAGGAGGAAGGGTGCTATTGGCATAGTGATGAAGATCTTATTTTCTAAGAACAACTACACGCCCTGATGTCACTACCTTAAACAAGTCAATTTAATGAGCATAGAAGGTATTTACCAAGCCCTGAGAAAAATCAGATTTATGTGGCAGGAAAAAATTGTTGAGCGTCGTCTACAAACAGGAGTTGCCAAATGATCAGGTCTTGTTGATGGACTGTAATTATTGTGATTCCACATCCATCTTTGCAAGGGTTTCCTGAAGAGTTTAATTTAAGACTTTTAGTATCAAAATCAATGTCGGGAGTAGTTTCCCCACGTGGCTTTTGATGCCAGGGAAGTAATTACTGGATGCATGTTTACTGTATTTGCTGTATGGTTTTTTGTGTTTAATTCAATCCGCTGGGACCTTTGAAGGAGGCGCAGGGTGTTGTTGCAGAGTTTTGTGGATGTGGCTTCTCACTGGAATAGCTGGTCGCCGAAACCTCGGGGCGGTGGAGGAGGGACCCGCAGACACAGGAGCAAGAGGCTGTCATTGTCCTGGTGTTGTGTGACGTTAGGGCAGAGCAGTGAGGACTTCAAGGGCTCTCGTGTCCTCACTTGGCCAAGCTCTACTTATTGTGCCCTGTGTTAGAGGTTGCAGCACAAGCACAACGTTATCCTCATGATCATACCCCATGTGGTAAATTACTTTCCGGTGTGAGAGACAAAAGGGGGATGCTGTTTCCACCCCTCTGTTCAGAACTGGGGGTCGGTGGTTTAAAGTGGAAAATTAATGGAAAAGGGAAAGTATTGGTGAGCTTCTAAAAGATGAAATTGTGTCAAACGAATGTTGCTCCTCCTACACCAAGAGAAGAAGCTGCTTGAACAGCAGAGAAGCGGTGGGAGAAGCTTTCCTTTAAGTGACTCTAGTGCCTTTCTGTAAGAAAGCAGGGGAATGTGGTCGACACCAATTTCAAAGTGGGGTTATTAAAACTGGTTTGGAAAACCCCACTCAGAGTAATTACTAATCATTCACAGTCAGACTGCAAGGATGTATTGAGTGGGATTCTCCGCAGTTCTGCTCTGATTTGATGTTATTTGGTATTTTCATTGACAATTTATGCTCATTAAATTGCAGGGAACACCAGACCTGAGCCAACTACTGACAGAGTGGAAGACAATTAAAATTCAGAATGAACTTGATGAATTCCAAAGGGTTAGAATGCAATTCGGTAAATCCACTCATGGGTTTGACAAGTGGTATTTGTGCACCTCAGCAGAAGTAACGATCAGCTGAACAAATACAGGATGGGACAGGAGAGGGTGGCGATGGTAGATATTCTCTTGGGGTTACGGCCAGTCACCAGCTGAGTATCGTTCAACAGCATCCTGTTCCTGGAGAAAAATGCCTGTTACAGAAGGTATGATGAGGAATGTAGTCTGTAAGGTACATGGCACGGTCCTTCTTCCTCATGTGGTAGAAGAAAGGCTTTCTCGGAACACGGTGTCTGGGTGTAGGCACCGCGCTTCATGGAGAATGTGGAGCAGCTGGAGACAAGCAGAGCAAAGCAATGAGAGGGATGATGAGATGGAAGAGAGGGCTTGTTTCAAGGGATGGGAGAGACTGAGTAAGAGGTAGCTGTGAAGAAGGAGGAAATAAGCACTTTTTCTCACTGCTGTGGGCAGAAGAAAAATGGATTACGTTATGGCAGGAGACATTTAGCTTAGACATCAGAGTGGGTGGTTGCCCTGACAGCAGGAAGAAGAAAGCTCTGCAATACCTTTCCTGGGCAGGTTGTGGAATCTCTGGAGCTTGAGATTTTAGAGGAAAAGTCGGTGGGCATCTCACAGGGCGGGTGCAAATGTGAGTTGGGGGTGGTGGGAGCAAGGCTTGCTGGAGCCTCTCCCAGCTGGTATTTCTCTTACATTTTCATACTAAAACCTGTGAGGGAGATGGAGAACTGCTCTGGAGCAAAATGCAGTGGCACTGGCAGAGCTCCTGAGCTTGACCTCAAGGCTCACAGCCATGTGTTTCCTTTTTCATCTTGTCTTTTAAAATAGCACTTGTGGTAATAACAACATCTGTGGGGAGGCTGGCCCACGTCTGCATAAGTTAGTACGGACTTTGTGACACCACCCAGCGCAGGGCACCCTCCGCTCTCCATTTCCCATTTCTGGGAGTACCTCTGCACTCCCGACTTCTGGAGTGAACGTGTCCCACACCTTAAATGTACATTTCTGTTGTGTAAGAATAGGCGAAGTGACAGCAGTAAGTTACACAATCATATGTGTGGCAGTAGAGCACACAACTCCTTGATGCTTCTGTACGTGCACTGGGATAATCCAGAGTTTGGAGCCATTTATCTCTTACCCAGTTATTGTGGCGGAATCATAAATCTTTTGCTGAATTTTTGCCAGAGAAATTTTTGCCTCTTACTCTGTTTAAACCGAATTCTCTCTTTTATTTTTCCTAAAACAACATTCCAGCTGAGAAGAGAGCAACCAGGGCTGGTACCGCCCTGCCTTTTATTCCCCCGGCAGATGCACAGGTTGCTGGGCACACATGCGATACCCTATTTCCTACTCCTGGCCAAAAAAGAAAATAAAAATCCCATATTCCTGCGCAAGTAAGCTCCATCGAGCTCCTGCCTGCCAGCAGAAGGTTTTGCAGAGGCTTGGGGCAGAGAGAGGAAGACACTCACTCCTTACCCATACACTAAAAATAGGCTGACGCCATGCAAAGAGCTCTGCTGTGAATTTCCTTCTGGCAGGCAGCCACGCAGCTGCTTTAGAGTTTTAAGCCGCGATACCTCTCCAAAACAAGAAGTCACTGAAGTTAAACACAGTCAGCAACGTTTTTAATCATATTACTCCTTGCTGTGTTGTGTGCAGGTAGCTTACTGGGATCTGAGTTGAAATTTTTTTTTTTTTTTCACTTAAAGCATGGTTTAAGACTGGCGCAGGTGATCCCCAGAGTCTGCAAAGCTCAAAAGAGGGAGGAGGACTTTAATCTACAAGTGAAATACTCAGGTGACGCATCCAAAAAGTGCTTTCCTGCAGAGTAAGAATGGCAGTAGTTGGGCTGCAAAAAGTTTTTAAACTCTCCGAATTGCTGTTAACGAAACATCCTTAAACCCTGATGTGATGATATGAAATTGGAAGGTCAGTTCCTTAAATGAGACCAATATAAAAAGAATAAACACAAGACTCTCCAGGCAGTTGGACTGAATGACAGAAGTGATTCATTCAGGTCTTGAAGCCTAGGACTTACTTGGTTTTGCCATATTTTCCAGTGATTTTTACCTACTTATTATTGCCAACATTTTGCCCTAAAATAAATCACATCACGTTCTGTATGTTTTGACGATGAAGACTGATGTGGCAATTGAAGTATCGGGCTTCCTTGTGCTTTGTTTCCATGGTCGTTCATTGTTTAGACATAGCAAGAGTCACGCTCTCCTTTACCGTCATTTCTCATTTGGAGCAAGAATATTTTTCTAAGACAGCAATTAAATCTCTGGATTGTTTTCAGCTATTTCACAGGAACCACTGAAAGCGCAGTAATTTTGCAAAGCTGTTTTTTCCCCTCCTGATTTTTTATTGTTGAATATCCAGCTTTTATTGGAATCCTCTGTATCCAATTATCTGATTTGTGCAGCAATTAAACAGAGGATCAGCGTCATTGTACTTTGCATTCTTTTTTAAACTCTGATCACTAGCAGGAGCACACTGTGGCTGTGCGTTGGTAATTTAAGATGCCCCAGGCAGGGGTTCAAAGGGATGGGAGCTCTCCTCTGTCTCACTTCCCCGTGGAAAGCCTCGCTGGTGCTGCCGAGCAATACTTCCACCAGAAGGAACCCAGTTTGGAAAAATTTTTCCAGACTGGGAGGAAAGCAAGCAACCTGAGGCTTAGATAAGCCTTGGTGAGTTTAAAACCTCTTGATGCTTTCACAGTGTAAAACTTGGATTAGCCCATCAGATATCACAGATTTACAATTTGAGGAGTGGATGTCAGTCAATGGATAAAATTAAGAGCAGAGGTTTGGCAAAAAAAGGTGTTATTAGAGGCAAAATTCTCCTATTGTCATCTCTGTTGAGCACTTTAAGATATCTTACATTTCTGCAATTAGAGGTACAGGATCTATACAATTCTGTAATTAGACATACATTGCTCTGTTCTGCAATTAACTGAGCGTACGCTTTGCTAAATAGGGTTAGTGTCTGGAGCCAGAGAGGTTCAAAAAACATCAAGCTTATTTCTTTTTTCAGGACTTTGGACTTTCTTAGCTGTCTGGAGAGAGGGTTCAGATGAGGTCCTGTCTTCTCCCTTGCCGTGGGGCCTGGCAGTCCTTCTGAGAACCGTTCTCCCCCTTCCCATCCCTGGGGGGGGGTTGAGGACAGATTTCTGAGGGGGCTTTCCAGTGGGTCAGGCAGGATTCTGGGTGGGCGACAGATAGTGGGCAGGAATTCTCGCTCCCTGCTGCCTGGTTGGTTATCTTCAGACCCCATATATTCACTTATTTCCCCATGGTTCTGAAAGCACTCTTCCACTGAACTATGTCACCGTGTCCTCACCAGGTACCTCCTGCACCCTTCACCCAAATCCAGACGCAGGGTCTGCTGTTACTCCCTGGAACAGCGTTTAATACCCGAGGATCCAAGTGGTGCCTTTGCCAGCTCGTACCGTACAGCTCAAAGGGCTTACGGAGGGAAAGGGAGTCCCGAAGGGCGGTTCCCTCCCGGCCGGGCTCGTGCTTTGTCTCTGCTTCCCTTGCCATCTGCCCAGAGAAGATTGCTGAGATGCTTGAAGGGCTGCCAGGGGTGGGAGGCAGAGGCTGCAGCGTGTGAGCTCTGCCACCTGATGCCTGCTCTGCCTTGAGACGGTGCCAGCTGGATCCGCTCGGCAAACCCAGCCTCTGTCAGCCAGTTATCTGATCGGGCTGCTGCCTCCTGGGCTCTTGCTGGTCTTCCTCATTCTTCTCCCCTCTTGCTGAAACCACCTCCTCTTGCCTCCTCTCCAGTTTCTCTGGGCACGTTTGTCTGTGCTGGTCTCGACAGGTTCCAGAGGTTTTTTTATTTTTTTAAACAACCCTTGTGTCTAGCTCACTTCCGTATAGCTGTACAGACACCTCTTCTGAGACCCGCAGCACAGCTGGTCTTCCATAGCTTTTTAGAAATGCTTCCTGGGGTTCCCAAGCAGGTCCTGTGCTCAGGTGCCTGCTGAAAGCAGATGAACCTGTTCACTCCTCAGAGAGCAAGTGGGCAAAGTGGGGAGACCCCACATCTGGCCCTCGCTGCCCCTTCCCCAGTGGAAGGACCTCCTGCCAGCGCCAACCCCCTGCATTTGGAGTCCTCCAGCCTTCCCTCAGGCTTCAGCTGAAGGTGTGCTACGAACGAGGGTCCAGCGCAGATACCCTGGGCTGAAGCCCTGCTGCCCGTGGCTTCTTGTACTTTCATCTCAATGGTGCCTGTGTTAATGGAGTAGTTGGCTAAAACAAGCTGCTCAACTTCAGCCCGGGCACTTCCATCTCCCAGGGGTCCTGTGCAGCCCGAGGAGTTGGCTGCACGTGCGTGTCGCAGTGTGGGCATCTGTCCCCTCCCGCGCTCCCAGAGAGCAGTTCGTTCCCAGTAAGGCAGCAGAGTAAGGTGGCTGCTTTATTAACATCAGTCATGTTAATTTTGGTGGGGTATGTGCTGAAACGCACCACCCAGAAGCTCCTGGGTCACCCGGGTATCTTGTCGATGGAATGAGGGGAGCAGAAGAGTTTTCCTTGTTCCTGGCGTGGGGAAGGCCCCTCACTGGTGCTGCCAGTGAAGGAAGGGATCTGCTCCTCGTAACCGGCCCCGGCCCTGCTCTTTGTTCTGCTCTGGGGTCGCTGGGTCCAGCCAAAGGCAACGGGTGGGAGGGCAAGGGGGTCAGCCCGGGCCTTGCTGTGTCCTTGGCACAGGGTTTTTGCCGCTGCGTGACAAGGTCTCTGATGAGCTGGTGGTTGCCCTGGTGCGGTGGCAGGGGCTGGCCGGGCGGCCCTGCAGCCAGCACAGAGCTGTCCTCAGCCTGAAACGAGCTCCTGGGCTTTCACCTTCTGCTGCGGGAAAAGTCAGCAACTCCACCAGGCTGCGGTGTTCAAGCTGGGCTTGAAAAACAGCTGTTTCAAACCTAAAAAAAATAAGAAAAATACCTTCTTGGTAGTTATATTGTTCAGGCTTCGACCTTTGTGTCCGGACAGGTTCAAACAAAACCAGTGTCCCAAGGCAATTTCAGGTGTGCCATCCTCCCCGTGCCCTGGGGAGCTGCTGCTTCCCACGGCCCTCCCCTGCCCGGGGAGCAACGTCCCTGGAGAGCGGGAAGAGAAGCCAGCCAGGCTCCGAGCTGGGGGGCAAGGTGGGACCCCCACATCCTGGGTCAGGGCAGCAGGGCTCGGGCTACTCAAAGCCTTGGGCTACTCAAAGCCTTGGGCTACTCAACGCCTTGGATGTCTCCAAGGTCATCAGGCCCCACAGCACGGGGTTGTGCTTCAGGTCTGGCAGCAGAGCCCACTTCCAGCTGCACTGCTTCCCTGACAGGACCTGCCTTCACTGCTTTTCTGCCGTTTTAAGCTAATCCCTGTTGAAATTTCTGCAGGCCCTCAGGCCAGCCAGACCTTGGCAGCCGCTGGCACTCGTAAATCCGGCCGGGCAGGGGATGCCTTTGGGGATGCGCAGTGCCAAGCACCAGCCTCCCCGCTCTGTTGTGACAGACGCTGTCACCCGTCTGGTCCTGCTCAGCCGGGGCCACCGGGATCATTCTTAACATGTGTTGGCAAATGAAAGCCAATAAACACCATAAATACCAGCCCAAAGAGCGGCGTGGTCTCAGCAGTCCAGGTCTGCAGCAGTCCAGGTCGGTGCTTCCGAGGACGGTTAACATTTTGCGATAAGCCAACACTGAGTGTTTTGTAGTAATTGTGTAATTCTCCTGTCAGGGACCATTCCTTGTGCTCCCGAATAGAGCAAAATGTCTGTAATTCCTCCAACCCCCCCCCCCCCCCCCCCCACACGCGCAACCTCCTTCTTGGCAAGTATCTCTGGAAGCTGATAATAAAGTAAATACCAGCAGTTCAAAAAAATATAATTCTGTATTGGAGAAAACGGAGAGCTAAGGATGCCCTGTGAAACAAAATTTTTGCTTTAACCACTGCAGACTCTTAACTTAATTTTTATAAAATCCTGGCCTCATAGGATTTCTGGTATGGATGCTGATTGTAACTTCCTTTAGGTACTATTAATTCCTTAGGTACTATTAGGTACTATTAATTTTCTTTTAAATGTTAAATTTTTGACAACAGCAGATATATCTTCATAGCTTCATTTCCTGGTACCAAGAGAAGAAAGTGGGG